CTCGATTCTCCTCAACTCTCCTTCTCTTCGGCTTCTCCTTCTCTTTCTTCTTCTTCTTCTTCTTCTTCTTCTTCTTCTTCTTCAGCCCCTCTCGTTTCGCCCCGCACCTCTGTCCCGATTCTGTTTCGCAGAGAAGTTAAGCGAGGGCTCGTTTTAATTACTCCGGAACTCCGGGCGAAGTTTTATGAAATCTTATCGCGTTACACGGAATTCCGGAGTTATGGTGTCGCCCGTATTATTAATAAGGTCCTCGCGAGGTCGGCACACCGCGTGCACGGTTCGTAAACGTCGCGATATTGAATTAAATTGCCGCGCAACGGAACCTCGCTTTTCTCAAGTTTCTATTGCGTTTCGCGTGCGGCCGTGCGTACTGCAGCCACCGCCGAACGCGAACCGTGTTCATAAATAACGCGGCCTGGGAGGAGAGTAACCGGGAATCTTAACTTTGTTCCAAACATCCCGGTCACCGAAATCCGTGGCACCGCCGGCGCTCCAACTATTCGATTCCCCGTGCTCCGGCCCGACATCGATTCGACCTCTTAAAACTTCCATTCGGTCCGCGGAATCAATCGAGATTTTCCGACGGATTGTAAATACGAGCGCGCGCGCGCGTTCGCGGGTCGGAGCGGCGATACCGCCGCGCGATCCGCCTTCCGAGGGTTAACGATATTCTGGGATCGGTGGCTCGTGCCAACTGCATTTTCCTCAAATCAAAGAGAACTTGCGCCCCTATAAATCTCGGCCCTGCAGCGCGCAACCTTCTATTTCGGTGGCTGGACATTCTGCCGTGACTCCCGGTGCGATTCGCACTCGACTCTCGGCCGGCCGGATCGCGCGAGTCCTCGAGCCTCGTGAAAAATTGAACCGGACGATCGAACTCCGATACATATTTCCATTTGTCCGCGGCGAGCGCGGCCGGCCGCGTAAGCTCGAATCGAGCCGGTAAGCGGGAACGAGTCCCGCGAATTATGCAATTGCAACTTTAATGCCCGCGGTCTCTGAAATCGCATCCGCGCGTGCCTCTCCCCGGCGAGGATTCGCGGCGAATCGACCGCACGGTTATTACTTCATCGCGTATTCCATTTCGCGGTCCGCCCGTGCATTCGGAATGCATTATCGCCCCGTAGACACTTTCATCTCGATGGTCCCCGGCCGTTTTTCAGCGGATAGCGGGCGGCGGTGCATCGCGCCCTCTCCGAGAGGCCTGAAGAGCGCGGGGAGCGCCGCTT